AACCGGTTGCGCCACAGAGACCAGCAGGAGCCCCCGCGGAGCCTGCGGCTGCTGCCGGATCCGGCCGGGGCGGCGGGGACACGAGATGCCCGGGGCAAGAGCAAGACTGGCGGGGGGCAGGACTATGGGGATCCCCCGGACTAGGGGAAAGGAGGACTGTAGGGACCCCCGGACAGGGGAAAGCAGGACTAGAGGGACCCCCTTCTATTGCTTTGAGCATTGAGAAGAGCCCATCGCGCCTGCCCTGCTGCACGGTCTCAGCCGCCCCCCGGGGCAGAGGCAGAGGCAGAGGCAGAGGCAGAGGCGTTGGCATGTCCTCTCTCCTGTTTAACCGCTGCCCAGGCACCTGTTTGCTAGGTAGCCAAAATGTTGCACGCCTCCCCCAGGAAAATACCCCGTGCCTCTTACAGTCATAGGAAATGAGTGTGGGGGGAAAGGACCAGCATCTAATCCAGGTCACATCCAGTCCAACCCCCTGCTCCAAGCAGGTCTGGCCCCAATTACATCACCCCAGCCAGGGCTTCGTTAAAACCTCCAAGGATGGAGCCTCCCCCACCTCTGCAGGTGACCTGTTAGGATGGTAGTCCCCACTGCAAGTCTCCTTCCAACTAGGGAAGGCCACTACCCTCCCTGTGCAGCTCTCTATGTGCATGGGCAGAACCGCTGGCTCTGAGTCTGCCCTCCCCACCACTTCTGTGAATCAACCTGTGAAAGTCAAGTGCAAAGGAAGGGGGGCAGGGGGGTGGGTGACCTCATCAGCAGCCGAAATAGCTCAGTTGGGAGAGCGTTAGACTGAAGATCTAAAGGTCCCTGGTTCGATCCCGGGTTTCGGCAGAAGTTTTTCTAGAGGTTTGCTTCTTGGGCAAATTCCAGTGAGGTCCCTGGCACGTTACTTGCTCGTGAAATTAGGAGTTTTAGTGCACTCCTTAGAGCATTTAATAAGTGTGCATTACAGATGTATTTGGTAGCTGTGAGGGTCAGAGACAAAAAGAAATGCAAAATCTAGAACTCATGGTTCAGAGATTGCGAGGCTAGAAGGGACCTTGGAGGATGCAGTGCAGCCACAATAGTCAGAGATACCTTTTCTTAAACCACCTAAGAGATCACAAAATATATATATCTCTATCTATCTCATGGGCCCAGGGGGACAGATTTCCATCTTCAGCTTGCTCTGTGCACAAATGAAGTTTTTTTCCTACTGACAGGGACTTTTTACCATCTTTAATTGTCCCTGAGCCTGAGGAAGGGCGCGTGAGACTAAAAGCTTGCAGATCTTTTTTTTTTGTGATTTCTCAGTTGGTCTAATAAAAGGTATCGTCTCTGAACCAAGCATTGTAGAGTTTTGCATTTTTCAGGCTAGTTAGTTCACTTGCTTATGAATAAGAGCCGGCATTTCCGAGCATGACACGCGCAGGCAACTGGGGATACCTTCCCACCAAACCCTCCTTTCTCTGCAGGGGTTTGATTGCCCCGTTCCACAGGACTGTTGAGTTTTATGCAACAGCCAGAGATTGATTTCCCAAAACCCTTTGGTCTCTGGGCCCATAACAGCAAAAGGCAGGTGACAGGAGGTATCTATCTGTGCTGCTCCTGGGGCTGTTTCGCATTTTAGAAGGACCAGGATTGCTCCCATGTGTGACTGAAGGCAGGAGTGGTCTTGTAGGCAAATTTTTAGGTCTATATTCAGTGTCACTGGGTGGAAGATGCAGTCTTACAACAATTTAGTAAAATGTGGCTAGGCAATTTTGTGCATTGCATTTATTTAAAACAAGAGACTTGTACTGCGCAAATCAGAGAGCACTCAAGAGTTTTTGCCAGTTTAAAAACTAATTGTAGGTAACTCAATGCAGCCTTTGGGTTTAGGCAGAGTCCTGGTTGGTATGGTGCAAAGTTCAGCTGAGGCCTTTCTGAAAGGCTGAGGCCCCTGTTATACGTTACACATATTACACAACTAGTAGGTCAACTGTACAACAAGTTTAGACCATCCACAGAGTAAAAGTACTTGGCACACTGTAAAAATGACTCTCCAGCTTGAATTTCAACATGGGGCAGGGCCCTGATATGGCACAGCACAACTCTGGCTCGTAGCTGAATATACAACAGTAAGCATTTGTGCTTCTGAACAAGTTACTCAGTGAGAATGCGGGTACGACACTGCTCTTTATTAAAAACTGTAACAGAAGTGTTTGCTCATATTCACCCAGTTATCCAGACAAAAAGTATTTGCTCACACACAGAGCAAACAGCATTTGACATCCCCTCCCCCCCACCCAAGAAGAGTCAACCCAACACTCATAATACAAAATTCAGTTGAAAGGAAATCTTGGTTTGAACAGTGAAAGCCATGAGTCAAGTCCATTTTATTTTAAAAGAAAGCATTCGAACAAGAGTAGATGTAATGAGCACCCTTGAAGAATTCATACCTTATACATATTGGCTTAAGTAGATCCAAGAAACTGTAGGTTTCTTAAAACATCATTAAAACCATATCATTTAAAAAGGTAAATGCTGTACATCATGGTAATACAAAGTCAATACTGTTACATTAGCCAGCTTGCGTGTATTTTTCAGTTTACATTAAACTTAGCATGATTAGATAATGTAGTTTTAAAATGTATCCATAAGTTCCCTACACCTTTTCTACATTTAAAATTATTCTCATACCAATAATAATTATTTAAAAAAAAAAATCTGTGAACCAAACCACTTTTTGATATGTATGTTCAAAAGCTGTTGATGTCAGATATGAATATGGGTATTATTTTATTGATAAGCTAAGGCCAATCTTGCCATAAGTTCTAGGTACTGTTTTACGTCTTAATAAAACTAAAGATCTTAACGTTTGAACACATTCAGGATTAAGATGTGTTTAGGCACAAGCCAAAAATATGAAAAGCTCCCACATGTTCTACTCTAGTTAAAGAGACCATTAGATGACAAAGTGCAATTACCATTTCTTATTGTAAGAGAAAAATCCTACTAGTAGGAGATTAGAAGAAGGGGGAAAAAAGAAACAAAAAGGGAAGGCTGAGCTGCCATATAAATAGGGCACAATGGTTTTGGGAGTAATGTTTCTTTAACTACAACTTGGGGAAAACCATGGGATCTCTCTGAATTGCAATGACAGCAGGCATTTTTGGGAAGTACCATAAACATTGTGGTAAGATCAAAAAGTCCACACACATTGTGTTACAGGGTTAAAGGCAAATGAAATCACATGGCTGTTAAAAGGGTTGTTTCTTTTTTTAAACGCAAGAAGAGAGCTGCACCATGCATTGCCAATGCCTGCGAGAGCAGGGGCTTCAGTGGGATTAGTTTTTCATGAACGTGAAGCTCGTCTAAGGAGACAGCCCACGGTCCACAAAGTCTCTCTACTGTCTGCTAAAGCAGCTTTCAAGGCATTTCCATAGCTGAAGGTACATTTATGTGACTGGCTTGGCATTAAAGAGAGCCGACACAACGATCAAGTATTTATAAACTGCATTATCCCTTACTATTTTCCCCTCACTAAGGCTTCTGAATAAGGGATGATGTTTTAAGCGACACGTAGGCATTCCTGTATTACATTCATGTTCTTAATGTGCCCACTAAAAGGCCATTATATCACAAATATCAAAACCCAAAATGCAGTATAGTTAGTGTAATTCTTAAAAGGTATTCAGATTAACCACATATTATATACATAATTAGAATTATACAAATGTGCCATTTTACAATCTATTTTCCCCAAGAAGTTCGATGTGAATAATTAGACTCAGCATTTAGTCCCATATAAAAGTCAAAGTCAAACTCAACTCAGTTTGGACTGATCTGGTCAGATATTTTCGCTGCCAACAAAATACAAGTAGCTGAACCCTTCTGGTTCCAAACTGTCAAAGTCTGTTTGTGGAATACTTGTCAGATTCAACACAGCCCTGCCAGACAACAGCAATCTCTTTGGCAACGCACTGCTGAATTTATGATGCCATGATAGGAGCAGTTTCAAATGCTGACAGTCCCAGAAACATGTACATCTGATATAGTCAATTACGTTAGATATATTGCGAAGACCAGATATATGTGCCTAGAAACTGCAGTTCCATTAACTCACAGTATGCCAATGAGATTCACATTATGAATTCCAACTTTAAGTGAGCGGCGAAACTAATTGTGTTTTAAAAAACAAGCCTTAGCAAACTGGAACTCCTTTTGGACTCTGCTTCAGCTGTCCTACCAACAAAAAAAAACAAAGCTTTTGGCAACCTGGGTTTCTTTACTGGGTGACATTTATTTCCCCGTCAACAAATACAAGTACAGCAAGGACATCAACTCTTTGGAAGGATGTTAAAACAAGCAGCCAGGTACTTTATATTCATTGAAGTCACCACAAGCTACATAATCCTGTAACTCTTAATATACTGTTACCACTGCGAGTTAAATTGGAGACCGACAGCCCTTTGTTCATATGTGGATAGAATAATTCAGATAAAATAAAACACAAATTTATGAGGTTAGATCAAAAAGTCTTGCAAAAACATTTCATATTCCTCCATTTTAGACAGCTTTGAAGTGCATTTCAAGTACAGTGCGATGAAGGCAAACTGATCAGCTGGCTCTATGCAAAGAACATATATCATGTCATCATAAACCAAGTTTTACAAGGAGTTTGGCATTACATACTTGTAGCAAGTACTACATCCAGCTCCTTTACACAGAAGTTAAGAATAATGATTGACAATCAGCTCAAGGCAACAGAGTACCTTCAAGATTCAATACATCCACTGAAGTGTATTTACATATTGGTTAAAAAAAAGTTTTGTATAAAATATGAAGTTTGTACAAGTATTTTCTTCTCCATTATATACAGTTAACATCAGTGCAGATTTAATAAGTTCCCTACCACTTTTTCTAGATGCTGTCTTCAGAAGCCAGTTTAGTATCCAACAGCTCCAGTTTTTTTTGTTCCAGAATTTCTTCATCAAATATTTCCCTTTCCCTGAAAAAATAAAGAAATCAATCAAACAAACTAACTAACAAGAAAGCTTCTGCATTCAAAGTAGGTTAGTTTGTTTTCAACAGGAAGTTAATTTATCATTCATTCAAACCAATCTGCAGAATGCTTCCAACACCTGGACAATGAAAAGAAAAAGTCAGCTTCAATTATAAATGGCTCAAAGTACAGTTTAGAAAAAACTTAAGCCCAACAGACTATGAATCACTCACCTAAGCAATTTAAGTGTTCTCATTTCAGTCATTCTACTCACCTAGAATTTGTATGTTCACCAAGCCAAGGGGAGCTAATCAGTTTTCAGGGGCCACATCTACACAAGACTTACTGCCAAGTTGACCAATTAGCTCTTCAGTAAATGCCTCAGCGTCTACACATGCAGGGCTATTAAGCTGGAGTAAAATTAATAAACTCTGCAGCAGGAAAGTACTTGTATATACAAAAGTACTATCCTGCTGTGGAGTTTTTAAGTCCTCAGCACTGCACATGTAGATGCTGATGCAGCTGGCTGGGGCATGAGGGTGCTTTAGCTGAGGCAACTGCCTGCCAGCTAGCCCCACACTGGACCACCCTTGTGCCCCAGCCAGCCCTTCCACAGCTCGGCGAATGGAGACCTGGGCTGGTAGGCTAACCCCCCTGGGCTCCCCATTAGCCCAACATGCTGTGATCCTGGGCGCACATTCAAATGGTGTACCTGGAAGTAATAAACTCCAACGTGATAAGCACCACAGTTTATTGCTCCGCATTAACCTCATAAGTAGATGCACCCAGTAAGTAGGTAGTCTACATACCTCATATTGCAGAGAACTTGCTCCTTGAGAAAAACGGATAAAAGCAAGCCTCTTTAAGCACTTGGGTATTTCCTTTCAAACTGAAAACAGGAGCTAAGATTTTTTTCCTTTTTACAAATGACAAGACAGGTGAAGGAGATTACTTTCTATGTAAAACATCTGACAAGTAAAAGTTTTAGAGAATGCACTAAACCAAGGGTTCTCAATCTGTTCAGGCTCAAGGCCTCCTTCAGAAAGTGCCAGCTATTAGCTTTCACTCAATTTTTGACTACGGAAAACACTAGAGCAATTCTTCTGTTGCAAAGGACTCAGAGGGCACGTTCAGACAAGCGTGCACACGTGGTATGCGGCACCACACACTGCACATGCAGGTGTTCCCCATGCTGCTAATTTGCAGGGGGGGTTGACACTAGGCAGTGTGCGCTGCCCAGAACTGGCCAGCCAGAGCCATACTCCAGCTGCCGGCCAGGCTCCCTGCTGCCAGCCCAGGTCCCCAGGTAAGGCTACTGGGGCCAGTTCAGGTGTTGGCCCCAGCCTACCCCACCCCACTGTGGCATGAATGCATAGGCGTTCACTGAGGACAAGCAGCAGCAGCAGCACAACTATGTGCCACTGCTATCTGTCCCTGGGGAAAACACACGTGTACTCATCTGGACGCACCCAGAAAGATAAGTCAGAACATATTTAATGCTGGGGATTCCTATTTGAAATCTCTGGGCTCGAGTGTTATGTTTGCACACCTAACAGTGGTAAAGTTGTGTGGCATCCTGCAACACCCTTGAAGGATCTCAAGGCACCCTGGTTGACAGTCAGGGCACTACACCGTCGTACCTTTTGCTGACTGAGGGTCCTTTTATGTATTTTTCTTCTGCTTTCTTGTAGTCTATGTCATCCACTGCAGAAATTGCAAAAATGACGGCCTGAAAGAAAACTATTACTTTATTGATACTAATGAAAAAGTTAAGTTAAACTGCACATGCAATTAGCCTGAAAAAACAAACAGAGTAGGTCTCAATAGGCTCAGCAGATAGACCACATTCTAAAATTAAGGTTTTACTCTATTCAGTTAAGTTTACTCACTGGATTTTTAGGGAAAAACAGAAATCTGAGAATTTGCAAAACATCATACTAACTCCCCCCCTCCCCCCACTTATCCTGCAATATACTGGGAAGGCCGGTTTTGCTACTATAACGGTCTAGAAGTTGGTTTAAAAAAAAAAAGCAGTTTCTACTAAACATAATAGTATCCTTCTTGAAAATAATCTTGCAAGGAACTTTTCCATTTCTTTTCTCATAAGACACACAAGTATTTAAAGATTTTTTTTTCAAGTTGCATTTTTGTACAATTCTGAACGTTCACATAATGAACACTACTTGCTAGGAAGCAAGTCAAGTATGAGAATGGAATAAAAAAAATCCAAGTTAACTAGTGTCCTGTCAACAGCAGCCATCTTCCCTAAAAACAGTTTTTTTGACAGCAGAAACATTGTAAAGTATCCTTATTCCAAATCAATTGCTTTTCCAGGTATTAATGGTCACTATTCACACTGGTGAATAACCAAAATATTCCCTGAATCAGATGGGGATGACATTTTATAGATTCTGGCATCTTACTGGTTTTGTTCACTTTTCAGTGACATTAACGCCAGCAAGAAGCCCAGAAATACTAATTGGGGGTTTTATTTGCCAGTAAATTAAAAAAGTGTGCATCCCTAACACACAAGCATTCAGCATCTGTACAGAATCAACTGGATACAGCTGTTCTCTTTACTAAAAGACAGCATGCCTTTCAAGCATATGCACATTGTCAATAAGGACAACTTTCTTGGCATACAGGTATTTAGAGCCACATTCAGACACTTCATCTCAGACTTCAGTCCTTGGTACTCCAGTTTGAATTTTAAACTTGTCCTGCTCAAATTCCTCAACCATTAGCAAGCCTCTGAGCCCCCTCCATACAACAGTAAAGTTATTTACTTACTTCAGGCAAGAGGACATCTAAAATAAATTTTATTTTATCGCCATTTACTAAATCCAGCTTTCTGGCATCTGTTTCATGATAGACTTTTTTCAAATAGTTCACCACAAGGTCCAATTGCCTCTCATCCTCCAGGTAGGTCTCGACACAGGTCACGTAGTGACTGGAATTCAGAAATTCTTTCAGCCACCGAGACTGCTTCTGGCTTTTCAAAATAGCCTGGAGATGCTCCTCGGCTCCCTTTGTCTTCACTATGAACTCCACAATCTTCTCATTGGCTTTGTCTCTGGCAGCTCTCGTTCTATCAGGAAGAACTTTCTTGGATGGCTTGTCAGATGGAATTTCCAAAACAGACTCTTCAAGATCTTCCTCTGCTACATGTGGAAAGGTCATTTGGACTACACTTTGATTAACTTCTTTTCGAACAGGATAACCTGAAAGGAAAGCCAGCTTTAAAAAAAAAAGTAAACTGCATCCAAATGCACAGCTATAACAAAAAGTTTTGATTCAGCGCAAACAAAGCTTAAAAACTTTGCCACAAAAGATTTGAGCTGAAATATGGACTGAAGAAGGTTTTGAAATGAATGTGCGCCAAGACCACAAGAACCACTGCTTGCTCTAGCATAGTTTCCTCTCTTCATCAACAGCAAATATCTGACTGGAAGCACAAAGACATCTCATAACACACATTACTAATTGTAAAATCCTGAAGCACAGGAAGTGAAAAGATCAAGCAAAGAAAATTCCTCTTTCCTCTGAAGGTTTGTGTTTCATTTCTTCAGGAGTGAAAACTCATCTACTTTGCGCACCAAAATTTACCATCATTTGCTAGATGTTGACAGTAAGCTCAGCACGCATAAGCGAGAAACAAACACCGTGGCTTTACCTCAAAGTGCTTTCAATGCAAAAAGACAGAAAATGCAATGCACTTTGAGGTCCCTGAAGAAGTCAGCTTAAATTTTCTTCATCTTGTAACTGCCATGAAGCCAGTCACTACAAACAAACCACTGTGTAACATGACAAGTCTAGGAGTCAGTTGTGTGACGCCCCCGGATCAGATTAACAGGAGATAAGCGAGAAAAGCATTCAGTGCATTACCGGCTGTATGCACTATATGAATAATTCATTAAACAAACTGTGCTGTCATTAGATCTTGACCAAAAAAATTACATTGAGAAAAAAGATGCCAAAGCATAGAAGCAGCAGCAATCTACAAAACAGAAGTGCAGAACTCGGGTCAGCGGAAGGAGGTGGGTAGGAGGCCTGGTTGACCATGCCACCAGCAGAGACCACAACTAGAGTGGTAGAGGAAAGGAAACAGTCATGCAGAGCTTCAGCCAAACCTGGCTAGTGGCATCCAGTAGCTACAAACTTTACTAGAAGAACCCTCCATGAAACAATGGCACATGATCTGCATGTCAGTGTCCTTCCTCCTCACAGCACAAGGCCAAGTCCTTCTCCAGCCCATGCTTGAACTAGTGTCCACAAAATAGAGATTTTCCAACGTGGGTGATTTAGGTTTATTATAGAATATAAAAAACACACAACAAAACTCTTATGGGACAATGCCACATCATGAAAACTAAGATTGCTGACAGGACAAGGTCAGTTTTGACAAGTTCCCATTTGACAGCTTCAATTTTTTTTTGGATGTTCCATTTTGACATTTCCTAAGAAAAGTGCCATTTTCCAGGTCAAATCAATTTTAAATTAATTATTTAATAGTAACCCTCCCACCTCCTCCCCCCCAAAAGTAAAAAAGGTCGATATAAAAAGGAACACACGTTTTCCCCCCTGCTTTCTCTTCTCTGGAAGCTGGACAAGAGGAAGAGCAACAGAAACGTGACCAGCCATTTTCTGATTTGACTAGTGTATACAGCAGCTGTCACTCATGGAACAAAAGTCTTATTAAAGAAGAGTGAAGATATCAGTGCACTTCTCATTAACCATATTAAGAAAAATCAGCAGCAAAGAAGTCTGAACATGCCTGAAGCACTCCTGCATTTCCAACTCTACAGCTACCAAGTCCAAGTGCTGGAAATTAGTAGAATGGGGTGAAGAAAACTTAACACCTTCTGATAGCTCAGCCCATCACTTTCATGGACATTAGAGCTAAATTTACCACGAGAGGACAAAAAGCCTTCACCATAGTCATACTTACTGATATCATCAGCTAAATATTCTAAGAAGGAGCCTGTAAAAGAATGACAGCCTGAAAAATATAAAAAAGGATTCATCAATCATCAACCCAGGTAGCACCTTTGAAAGAAAAGGTCTGTTAAATAATGTTAGTAAGTCTCAAAGAAGCACAGCATATTTCTATATGAAGACTGAACCTAAAAGGGACTTTACAGTTTTTTAGGCAGAGAGCCTAAAACTGAGATGATATAAATCAAGATGCTGTCTGGCCATTACAGTACATAACTGTAAAGGAGGTATGTAATGAGCCCATTTTTAAGTCTTTTTCTAGAAAGAGATAAGGGTAGCAAATCTCTACCAGTCAAATATTTCCAGATTATGAAGGGCACACAGCATGTTATATAACCATCATATTAGACTTGCATAGTGCCTTTCATCAGAATCTCTCAAATAAAAAACAACATAAGCTTATAAATGAAGCTCAGGTCCAACTCCAATTCAGAAGGCAGCTCCTTTGGCCAAGAACCAACTTTTAGCTCATTCCTCAACCACAAAAAGAGACCTACTGTTTGCGGAAGTGTAGTACTAATCAGTAAGGCTCTATAACGCATTACTTTTTGCAGCAACTATGGTGTCTAGCACACAGCAGCTGGCTGGCCCCAACAATAAAGAAATACCTAAGGAGGCATCTTCCTGCAAGAAGTGTGTGGCTTCTGCTGGCACATAATTGCTGTGAAGGGAACAGATCAGGCATTTTTTTTTTTATTTGAATGTTTTCTCTCTCCAAGTTGGAGTATTATTTTAAGTAACTTGGGCACAAACTCCTTCTGAGGGACTCATAGCACTCCTCAAGATACAGGTCTACAAGTAGCCAAACTGAGGCACAAAAAGGTTAGGTGGCAAGCCCAATGTAACAGCAAGTCAAGTGCAGCCTGGAATAAAACCCAAGTCTCAGACCATCTACTCTATTCACTCTGCTCTGTATGGGTAATGGGTCCAGTAGAACTGAATATTCAAATGTACGCATTTTAGGGCAGATTATATTCATGGCTTTTTGACCTATCTACTTACCTACTCTAATTCTGTAGTCTGAAATCAATTCAATGCACCACTCAAGCTCATGGCTGTAGTCCTCTTTGGCTTGGTCCTGCAAGTCAAGATTTAGATTGTATAATTAACACACACAATATAGCTATTAGTCTGCTGTGACTGACAGCAGTCTCCACATCTCCCTGCTGCAATGCCTGATGTAAATACATGCACACATGCTTATCTGCTGAATTACTGCCTTGCACACATGTGCTTCTCTTGGCTCTTTCCAGCAAGCTTCTTTCGCCATTGGAACTCAAAGATGTTCTGAAACACTGATTCTAGGTCTCAGAGCTATTGAAACTCTTATTTCCCAGGAAAGCTGGGAAACAGCATGGCTTGTAGTCCAAAGCAGAAAGATTAATTTGTTCTTATTCCATAATTTATCCATCATTTAAGCAGTACAGCTTTATCAACAGATATAAGTTTCTTAA